CAGCAATCAAACCTGGGGAGAGCAGGAGACTGGGGGAGGAAAAGGAGTTTGGTTTTCAGCAGTCATTCTCTTACGCAGCCCACTGTGAGGCTACACAAATCACAGAATAATTTATATTGAAAGGCAATTCCGGAGCCACTGTCCAACCCTGTGCCCAAAGCACAGAAAATATTGAAATTGCATCAGGTTGTTCAAGGTCTTGTCCAGAATTTTTCAATATCTTTAAAGACATGAATTTTACAGCACTTTTCAACAACCTGTTTCACTATTTGAGCACCCTCCTTGTGAAAAGGATTTTTCCTAGTACCTAACTGGAATTTACCTGGCTGCAACTTGCTACAGCCACCTCGTGATATGCCTTGCTTGAAGAGACAGATGTACCTTGTTGACTACTGCAACTCTTGGACTTTGACAAGGTTGCCCCTGGAGGTCCATCAGCTCTCCTGCACCCCTCTGCTCCTGTGGGCCGCCCCCTGCTCCTGTACAATTCTGCCTAACAGTTCCCCAAAGTCTCCTCTCCTGAAGTCCAGAGTCATTATCGCTCTACTTGACTCCCTCACTTGCCTTGGGATATTAAACTCCACCATCTCGGGGCGAATGGAGCCAAGGCTGCCATCAAACCTCACCCCTCTAACTGGATCTTCATCATTTTCCAGTAGCAGATCCCACACAGCAGATGCCAAATCAAGCCATCCAGCACCTGTATACAAAAAGCGTCCTTTAAAGTATTCCAGAAATCTCCTAATCTGCATTTCATAGAATCATAGAATGGTTTATGTTGGAAGGGACCTTGAAGATCACTGAGTTCCAACCCCCCTGCCATGGGCAGGCACACCTCCGACTAGACCAGGTTGCCCAAGGCCACGTCCAGCCTGGCCTTGAACACCTCCATGGGGCCTCAACAACCTCTCTGGGCAACCTGTTCCAGTGCCTCACCACCCTCAAAGTGAAAAATTTCTTCCTAATGTTTAATCTAAACCTGTCCTCTTCCAGTTTATAGCCATTCCCCCTCGTCCTGTCACTACATGCCCTAGAAAAATTCCTTCCCCAGCTCTCCTGTAGGCCCCCTTTAGGTACTGGAAGGCGGCAATAAGATCTCCCCCGAGCCTTCTCTTCTCCAGGCTGAACAGCCCCAACTCTCTCAGCCTCTCATTTGGAAGACTTGTTTCAGTTGTTAAAGGAAAAGTCCATCCAGCTTTGTTTCTTGAGTGGTCTCTAACAAACGCACGCCTCATCACTCTGTTGGACTCCTCTGTCCTTGATCCAAAAGCTTTCAATTGTCCCGTCCCTCATTTCCTAATGATCCCCCATGCACTTCAGCCATCCTTCACACAGAGCAGAACAACCCCTCATCATCATCTCTGCCCACCCTTCCTAAATAACCCATACCCACCTGCCAGCACACCCTGCTCACACAAACTACCCACTGTCTCTGAAATGCCGATGACATCAGAGCTCTGAAAACGTACACTGACCTCTAATTCCTCCTCCACCTGCTTTTGCAAGTTCAGGGGTAAGCATCTGACATGGGCTCTCAATCACACCTCAAGGTTGATTTGGTGATCCTAACCCATCGCATTCTCCTGCCCACACTTCCCCCTTCTTGCACTGCTCTACAGGCTTTAGGGTCCATCCTGCAAAGTACCACGTTTAAAGCTAGACTCACTAGACAAGTGAGTCACTAGGCCAGGCAAGTCTGCTGGCAAAGATGTTCTTATCTCACTTCATCGTAAGAGTGACAAGAAGCACCCAGAGCTAGAGGAGGGGGACAGACTCTTCATTAAGCAGCAGCAAGAGTTATGACAAACTAAAACAGATATTAAATTGAAGCATAAATAACTTCTTGATGCTCTCTACAAAAAATTCCTTCTGTCATCTGAACATTGATAGATCTTTGTTTATTCTTTTAAAAATTAGGATCACCTGCGTGTGACCAAATTCTCTGAAATAATTCTGAACCTATTTGAATTTCTGAAGTCAAAATGTAGATGGCACAAATCAATGGAATCCTCTGAAGAGTAATAATCTACAGTGGGTCTAACACAGAGCATGTCAACGCCACAAAGAGAAGTTTAACCTGTCCTTCATCTTCCACATGGGGAACATGATGTTTCTTTACTCAACATTTTGACGAAGTCAGGTACAAAGTGTCAGCAAAAAGATGAAAATCTTAGAGCACTTAGCAACAGACACAGCACTCTAGAAACTTTAAAGGACACTTAGTACAGATGCCTTGATCCACTGCTCAGAATGCATAAAAGGACCCTGAAGAAAATATAAATTTTGTTTAAAAATATTTAGAAAATATGAAGGAAGCATAATTTGAAAATATTAGCCACCTTAATACTACATATGCTCTGTCTGTTCAAATCCTGTGTTAAAACAAACCCCAGTTGTTAAGTTGATATCAGCTGCCACCTAACAGATGCTAAAAAAACAAGACAGCATGTTCTTAATTTAAATGATCTCAATACACTTATAATCTCAAAGATACACTAAATTACATTACTCCAGAATTTTTCATAACTGAAAAAGCATGGCAGTAAGCTTTCTCCTAAGAAGGTCTATTTTCCTAATAATTTTCATTCTATCAAAAATGTACAAAGGTTGAATTGAACAATGTGCTGCATTGTCTTTACCTCCTGCCTTCAGCCTTCCAAGTATATGAAAATCGATCAAGTTTTACAACACTTTCACAAATGAAGCACTGAAAATCTCATCACTTGACACCCTGAATATTTCAACGGATAAAGCCATGGCAAATGGACTTTCCATACTGGAAAATGCATCTGGTGCTCCTCAAGACATACAGATATAACCTGAAATCCGCAACCTTTGAGAACTATTTTTGGCCCTCACAGGATTCTCATATAACTTTTCACTGCAGTCAATGTAGTCCACACACTTAAAATTTGAAGCCTTTGTTTATGTGATGGTTTCATATGGCATCAACCAATAAAGTAAGAATTAAAAGAATCGCAAGCTAAATAATACAGCCCTTCCTTTGTAAACAATATAAGATTACTTACAACAAAATTGCCTGCACTGTGTTCTCTAAAATAGACATTCCGCTTCTCATGCATGTACTTAGCAGAGAAAGGTTAGCTGGAGAGCTCCAAGTAGCTCAAAGATGGTAGATACCAAAGAGATCACTTGGTCTTACCATTCAAAAGACTTTAGCAAAAATGCCTTCTCTAGTAAGAAATATAAGCAACTATATACCGGTGTATTTTTGCAAATACTTTTTATCTCTTGGCTGCATTTAGGCTGGCTTCTGAAGGAAAACAAATCTTATGCCGTTAAGCCATCCATCCATCTCTCCATGTGTCTGTCCGTCAGTATGTCTGAAACAAACTCCGCTGGGCGGTGTCAAATACTCTGGCGGGAGGACAGATGTATCAAACAATGTTTCGCAAACTTAGCAGAAATGAGAGCATAATATTTTTTTTAGTGGTTCACATCTAAATGTTGCCGTAAGAAATAAAAAGGATGAGAAAGACCAACTCTAGTTGGGACATGAAATCTGCAAAACAATGTACACGTTTCTTCAAGAATTTTTAAACACACATGTCATTCATTGCCTTTCATTAGAATAATTTTAGTTGTAGAAACAAACATTCATAACAAAGCTTAAACACACAGAAACTAATGCTTGCACTGAATTTAATGCACAGAATTCATGGATTATTCTATTGGTTTTCTAAGGTACTGACTTACATGTCAGCCATGATAATTTTGGTATCAAAATTGGGTTTAAATACAGAATAAAGAATGGATATAAACAGTGTTGCTCAGCAACAGAAATGAATGAGGATGTATTTTTACACCCTGACAGAATTATTACAACTATGCATTCAATTCCAGCATAAGAATTCAACTATGCTATCAAAGAATATTTATATCTTTCCATAACACAGACATTTTCTAAGTGAGTTCTGGTTAAATATTGACATTTTTGCATAAACGGAACTCTTTCTGATATGTTGCTTAGGGAGCCTGGATGGAACCAGGCACTAGGATTATGTCTCAAGTCTTGCCTTTGACAAATCTTGTGCAGCTAATTTAATAATAAAGCAATGAAAAATCATTTCAGATCACTAGATAAAAGTACAATTAAATGTACAAAAAGACGTCACTAAAGATAAACCATGATTTGATTGCCACTCTTCTCTCCTTTCCTCCTTTCCCCACCCACCATCTCGCAAATTGGAGGATGATCTGAGTGAAAAATATAAATCTCTTAGAAGATACTGCTTATCCACGCATGGCTTGGGGGGCTGTTGGCTGCCCAGAACGTTTCCCTGATGAAAATCATAAAAAAATGTATTTCCGACAAGCCAAGCACAAGGTTTTTTATGGAAATCATGAAATTTACAGCAACACCATTGGTTTATTTTAACTCTAAACTGAATGTAATCTCTTATTAATAATCATAAGGCAATATTTTGCTGCATTTAGAATGATTATGGGGATTTTATGTTTAGGATGACTAAGTCATCATGCAAGTCCTTTCTCAGCCTTAAAAAGGCCACTCAAGATTAGATTAAGTTACTAAATTTGTAAAGAGGACTTGGAAATAAATTATTCTAATACATTCTGATTTGCTCAAATTTAATTAAATATATGAAAACACTCTAAAACCAGCTTCATGTATTTCGTTATAATTAGGTTACTTGGTGTGGGGGAGAATAGAAAAATTTGACCCTATAAAACTACTATTCATCAATCCTAACTATACTTCCTTAGTTCCCTAAAAGTTGGGAAAAACACACAGTTTGTGGCAGGCTCAATGACTCATAAAAAGCCATTATAGTAAGATCCAAGCATCATCTAAATAATATACAGCACAATTAACCTTAAACAGTCTATAATTATGATAAGCTTCATAGTTCTAATTACTCTTCAGTAACACTGCTATAAAGCGAGTTGAATTATAAAATAAAACGTGTCATAGGGCATCTATTTATATATTTTTAAAGCAAGTATTTGTGAAAGGATATAATTTTCCAGCAAATATCCAGCTTGCTGTTAATCTCCAGACCTTTTGCTTGTTGCCTTTCTTCTTCCAGCTGCTTTGTATTCGCAAAGTGTGTCCCATCAGCAGGGGATTCTGGGAAGCTCTCAAAATTGAACTTGTCAACTTGGATAGCCATACTGTAGCAGAGGGAAAAGAAAGAGAAAAAACACAGGATTTTTACTATAACAATTTTACAGATATTACTTCTGCAGAAAAGGCAGACCACTGTGAAACCAAGCACGAGAATACCGGTTTATTTGTCTCGGTGGCATCTAGTCAGTATGTTAATGATATATATGCCATATGATTTATGCTACTGAAAATGCAAGTCTAAGTCTATTAAAGATGGTAAGATTTTTTAGAAATCATCAATCAACATCTTAATGCCTTTGTGAGTGGTACACAAGACATCTGTTCTGCAGTTGCAACCAGTTGACCTTATTGTGGTTCTGCAGAGGTTCATCTGCCGTCACTTTTGGTATGTAAATGCTCCTGGTGTGCTTAAGACTTGCTGGAAAAAAAACAAGAAGACTGGGCCAAATGCTGATGAACATACTATTTAAAGTAGTCTATTAATCCCAACCTATACACAAGTGAAGCAAAATATTTTATAGAAAAGTGTCTCCTGTAGTACACAGTCACGCTTACAGAGCCACATGCACTTCATTGGTTTTATGAGCCAAATTCTTAAATTTTCCTTTAAAATTTCCTTACAAAACTCAGGAAGGAAAGACAAAATCACCACAGGACTTGGGCCTAAATGTGGCCCTTGTCTTTTTCTTCGAGAAGATACTTGCCTCTTGCTTAATGAATCTTCATGAATTACAGGCAATATTAATTTCAATATCATAGTATAATTCATTGGTAGTAAATGGTTAAATAATTGTTTTATTAAATGTACAGAAGGCATAAAAGCAAATTAAATTAAATATATTACACTATAATGCATACTAAGTACTTATATGTTAAACTAGAATCACTAATCTAATATAAAAGGGAATTTAGACCAGCTCACATCACATGAAATGTGGTTATAGCAGATCTAATATACTGTGCTGCCAAAACAGCTTTAATTTCCTGAATCATCTGAACTAGAAAAATAATTAGGGAAGAATTAAAATATATTGCTCTTGAGATGACTTTGCACTTAAGGAAAACAGAAGAGCATGCAACAGCTTTGAAAACCATTCGTGATTAAATGCAACCACAATCTAAGAAGGGGTATGGGAAGGGCATGTCACAAAAAAACCAGGATTACTATTACTCCTTTATCTATTTCTACACATAAAGAGGGAAACATATTCTATAAATGGTGCAAAAAGGAAAACACTAGGAACAAAAGTCAACAAGAAAGGGCTTTGAAATCCCCCCAGACCTGAAGAGATTTTCTATATTAGCATTAATTTCAGAGAATTTTGACCCTAGAAGAAACTGGGAGAAAATACACAGCAATTACATGAACAAGGAATACTCCAGAGTTTATGAAGTTTACTGGGGAAAGATGAATTCAAATAGGCCCATCACGCTTCACCCTGAGGAAAACCCGACATCTCAGGAGACGTTCTTAATGTTCCAAAACTACCTTCATCTTTAAAAAGTACAAATACAGCACTGAGACAAAGGTGGCACGAGTACCGCTTCTGTAAGGTACCTCTTTTGCAGACAGCATCTTTGCTGATCTTCACATTTACAAATCAAAAAAGGCAGAGGAATTAATCTATTCCTCTCTAAGGGGTGTTCATTTGCATGCAAAGACCATCCCATGCTGGGCATATAAAAAAGCTAACATGAGCTACAGAAGTCCATCACAGTGACTGCAGGAGTCAAGCCAGAAATAAAGAATGTAATGAAAACCACCTAGATAGAAACTGTAGAGTGGATTTTTTAAAAAATATCAGGCCTGAAACTATGACTAACAACATCAGTCCTTACTGGCACTGAAGTATGACTTGATTCTGCAAATGCCGGGTGAGTTTCCTGGATTTTGCCTGGGCAATGAGTGTGGAAGACAGAGACGCGACTGGAACATTACAAAATCATTTTTGCCTTTGTTTCCGAGGTTATTTCATCACTCTGTGGTACATGAGCAGATGCAAACCCAGCACTCGATTTCTAGTATACACACAGTACTGCTTAAATTCTCACATAAATACTTATAGTTAGTTACCCGTAGTCATAGTTCGACAACAAATTACCTTAGTTCCGAACAGTCAAACATATTTAGAGTCCTTCTCCCAACGGATCTGGGAAACAGCTCTCATCTAATTATTGCGCCACACTTTTCTAAGTGAATGATATATTAGAAAAACATTCCTGCCTAACAATATTTAATATTTAATTGAGGGCATTCAGATTGCATTCTTCTGTTAATGGATCATTACTGGCAATATGGTAATTTTTTTTCTGGAAATTAAATATGCATGTAAGCACTTCTTACCCCAACAGTCTACAATAAATCCACGCCAGCTTCAGCAATACAGCCTAGATTACTCTTAACAACAGTTCTTTGTACAGTTGTGTTTGAAACAACTTTTGTTAAGCTCCAGGGTACAGAAAACTTTAGTAAATAGGACTCCTAGTACTCAGAACCTCTACTAATTATTCAAATTTTTTAACCATGTTTTTATTTATACTGTGTATACCGTATTGAGCAGTGACACCTCATGTCCCATCAGAAGATCCAAAACCACCCCCAATGACATACTTGCCAGCTAGAAAGTGAAGAGGTCTGAGTAAAAGAGAACTGGAGAAAAAAAAATCACACAAAACTGTATTACGGATACAGCAGTAGGCAGAATATATGAAAGCAACAGAGATAAAATAAAATTTTTCAAGACTATAGTTACACTCAAAGTAAAGCATGACAAAATTAAATCCCAGCTCTTTTTCTTAAACATATACGCCTTTTATCATCAGTATTCCGCTTCCTCTTGCACTAAAAATATTCGTATTGAGTTTCGTCTCTGCATTTTTTATCAATACTGTTGCTCCACTATTTATTCCTCAGCCTATGGAATGTGTAGTAAAGTGGAAGGCTTTACATAGAAATCAAAACAGAAAATAAATACCGTAACCTAAATCAGTCACTCATCCTTCAAAATTTACCCCTACACAAACAGTGCTTCTTCGCTTCCCTTCCAACATGCTGATTTCTCCCATCTCAAAGACGCATTTCACCAAAGAGGTATTCACGAAGGGACCAACGATTCCCAGGGCCGAGTGACTGCAGGAGAAAACGGATAAACTGGACATTGGGTTACAATTGTCAACTAAACCATGATTTTTCAATTTTTAAGTGATCTGTAGAGATCACGTGGGCTTTACCCTAAAAGACACCGAAGGCAGTGAAAGGCAACCTCTTGAACATCACCCAACTTTGTCACCGTGCTGCGCATCAAAATAATGAAGCTGAAATGTATTTTAGCTGTAAAAGTCTCCACTTAAATTACTGAAGTAATCTGCAGTTACTTTACAACCTATGTTTCCATCTCAAGTTCTCTGACCCTCTTTTCTCCCCAAATTTGTTCTTGTTTGTGGTAATAAAAAAGAATCCATAGGATCTATATAGAAAGAAGTAAAAAAAAGACAATTCAGATTGAAACAGGCATTCAATTTATTACAAACGGCTTCGATAACGATGGCTCACGCTGAGCAAGAGTAACACAGTACCTTGCCCTACACAGTAATTACGTATCAGGAAAAACACAAAAGATCTTAAAACACTAAAGTTTAAACATATACTTGTTTCAGGGAAAAGGACCAGAATTTCATTTGAACCTTCTTTTGCCTCGTGGGTACCTATCCAAATCTCCTACAAGTAGAGTTTTCAATAAATCATGAGATATTTGTATAATACACTGCATTATGTAAAAGTATTTAATAGCCAATCTTGCATACACAAGCCAGGTTTTGTTTCTCTCTGGCTAACCTTGCTTGTGCAGGAGGAGGGATAAAGTGACAACAGTTTTCATGAATAATGAAACAATCGTCGTTATAAAACTACTGGGTTTTGTCATGAAACGAGCCCAAGCCGTTGTGACAGCTACTCAGACAACCAAGCATCGTTACAGGGATGCAAATTATTCAAATACAAATTAAGGGAACGAAGAGGAAAAGGTCAGCTCATTGGCAATGCTGATGATACCTCTGCACAGTATCATCTCACGTCACCTGTCAGGATGACTTACAGGGAAAAAAATGACAAACTTTCTGGTGGTGCAGCAGACATTTCAATGACAGTTTATCCAAAGTCCTATTAAAAGTAACAGTACAGAATTATTAAAGACACCGGACAGATCATTTCACCACTTCTCAAAAAATGAGTTTACTTGACTGGAAATATTACTCTGTCCTGACAACAAAACGCACGGCAGAAAGGAGTTTGTATCGAGAAAAAAAACCCGTCCTTTAAATGGCATCATGAGTATTCCTGAGCCAGCGCCTTGCACATCCCTCTTTCCTAGAGCACTGCCAGTTAAAATTAAGCAATGCTGACAGTTTCACAGACGTAGCAAGTAGCAGATAAAATTAATAGGTGAAAACTTCAGCACGGGAGTGGAGTATTGCCTGCAGTGCTATAAACTCCTGCCCTTGCTCCTGGCAGGACCAGCAGGTCCCAGGCGTAGCCTCACCCCAGGGACGCATCTCGGCTCTGTTGATGTCCTCCTCTCATATAAAAGGATGAATCTATAAAGTGAAATTAAGTATGTCACACTCTCCAAGTAAAACCGGGTTCAAAGTAGGCATGGTATTAAAAGAACAGCAGCAATCTGGTTAACATAACTAGATTTCGTCTTTCATTAACTAAATAAAATACTGCTGCTTAGGTTGGAAGAATAAAATCTAGAGTTAGTCCTTATTCAATTATCTTTAGGAAGAAACGATATCACAGGAACCCAAAAACTCTTCTTCATGCATAACCACCTCTTTAAATACTATCATCCACAGATGAGTTTGCAAGCTGCTTCCATAATGAAGCTGAAAGGAGGCAGTTGGAGACTTTATTCAGTATTATGCCTCCTGTTCATCCTCCTTTCTTATATTATGTAGACAGTAGGGACACAGAGCCAGACCGTATTGCCACTACTTATGCAAAATGCTTATGTATATGAATAATCCCTGTACAGTCAATGACTTT